GATAGCTTGGCGGAAAAGAAAGATTTTAGGGAGAGAGAGAGAGAGAGAGAATTACTTTAGTTAGAGACTGGTTGAGCTCACACATTCATGATACAACAACATCTCGACCAGAACACGTAACGCCGTTTCATCACACATTTTTAGACCCTTATAGTAGGGGCAATACGATGGCGCTTTATTCCTTCAAGAGCTCCAGAGAGAGATGTTGTTTTGTGAGAAATGGGCTTTGACATTTTTTTATTTTTACGTTTTACAGTGACAGAGAGCGCAATGGGGGAGAGCGGAGGCCGTGTGGTGTTATAATGTCTCGGTCATTCGCCTTAGGTCACTAACCAAATCACACTCCACACGCCATAGCATCCACGTAGCTGCACACTTTTACACTAATATTCTTGTATTTATTCGCCTCGCTCGTATTGACGCAATATCGTAGTGATCATGATATGGTTCCAGTATAAATTATCTAATCTGTTGATTACAATGATTTTTTGCGCAACTTAAAATCAATGCAAGAACATAAAAAAAATCTCTATTTGAAAGGATAAAAATTAATATCATTACGTAAGTACATTGATCCGAGATACAGCCTAGTAGATATGTGTGTGATTTTTAACCATAAAGGTCGTAATTTTAGTCTCGAATGTAGGGTTAGATCCATGACATGCGTAGATAGATAATCACTTACTCATCTAGAAAGACAATCATGAATGAAATAGAAAAGTGCCAAATTATACATTCGCTATGCAACTTCATAGAATTAAATTACTTTTAAATTAAATTGAGTAAGTATAGAAAAAACTTTGATATAATTTATTAACACAAACATATTTTATTAAACATTCCATGATATATGCTACTTAAAAAGTTAATACACATACTTAGTCTAACAATAACTTATCACTTTATACGGATGCATAAAATCTACCTAAACCGTGGACGGTTAAAGTTTATCAACGTCGTAACAATTGCTTTCGGTAAAAAATCAACAAAACCAGTCGCTGGCAGTCGGTGAACGTATTTACAAGAGCACGTTCGTGTAGTATCTTAAATTAAAATGACTTATGCTTTTATAATAGTGATGTCTGTTGCGATCACATTAAAATTGATGTTCATGAGTTTCTCACTGTACTTCACATTGAAACACAATTTACACGCTGAGGTAAGCCTATTTATTATTTTAGAAAGTTGACTAAAATACCCATGACTAGTATTAATTGATAATGTTATTAATTACATATCTAGATTTTAATAGTGCATTAAATCGACCAGTCAATTAGATTCACTTTCAAACGATATAACGAAACAATGTATTGTTTATTTTTACAATTGTATTTACAATTCACGTACCGCTTTGTTAAGGTTTTTGTCGAAACAGCCTCAATAAAACGGCCTTCACATTAGTGTTCGCTATCATTGCTTGTCATTGGTTTTTGTTCGATTTCCAAATTTCTTATTTCGTTAAGAGCTAACGGGAAGCCATTTAGAAAAGATTTAGGAACGAGACTAAGCTCAATCTTTGACTCCCGGATGTCAAAATCCAACACAATTTTAACGTACGTCAAAACGTAGGTCAAAAACGTATTGGATTTCGCGCTGTCTCCTCTTTTAATATGGAATAAGTATACCATAGAACCGTTCTAATAATAAAAGACTACTGTCCTATTATTTCCAGTGTATCATTGCATAATATATAAATGGTTAAATAATCGTATCGTTTGACGAAAACCATCGTTCTATATAATTAGAAATGTTGTGTTTCTGTGTACGGTTGCTAAGTTCTTTTAACACCACACAAGTGTGTCCAATGGAGATTGTGAAAATTTCCTAGAGCTGTATATGTCATTGTTATTGGTTTAATAACAGCTAGCAATGATAGGAACGGCAGGAGCTTGACTGAGTTGGAAAGAATTTAAAATTACCGGTGATGGCTTCGTTATCCACGATACGACTCTTGTTTCGGAAACGTACCTACAGACGTTATAATTACCCCTATATCCTATTAGCAGGATTGTGTCATTGTTATATTTATTGAGATGTATATTACATTATTTACAATGCACAAAAATTTAAGTAGGTATGCTGTATCTGTATTATTTACGATTACCGTCTAGAGGGTAACGTTACGCGTGTATTAAGGCAAAATCAAAGACTACAATGTAATAATTATTGTACTTCTGGGATAATCGTGTTTTTATTAAAATACACGAACTGTAAAATATGCACTTTAATATATGACCTAGCCAGTAAGCTTGAAATTGATTAAACACGCCGTAATAATAAACTTAATTGAAACTTAAAAGAATTTCCAATTGAAATATAGATTCGCGTAAAAATACAAAACTACTCAGATGTAAACAATAATATGGAAAACAAATGACAAACTGTCAAATATTTAATTAACATCATAAATTTAGTTTATCTGAAACGTATTTCAATTCAAAAGAAAATTACGTGGGAAATACAGATGTATTAAGTGTAATCAGCCCCGACCAATTTATCCTTATTTAAACCAAACGTTTTTTTAAGGTTGGAAGGTACCATTTTTTTATTATTTATTCTCTAGTCATTATTATATAAAAAAATCCTTTAACTTTTTTAGATCCTATATCGTGTGAAGGGATAATGAGATACTTATAGTTAAAATATTTTCTTTGCATTAAGTATAATAAAAGCTTTAACTGGTATAATATTAGGTCCTTACATATGAAATTGGCGTTTTGTATGGGAGGAACAAAAAGTCGAATATTTTTAAATATAATATATTTAATTAATCAAAGTATGAACCATTGTTTTCTATGCACTTTTGCCATCTCATATGTAGTTCATTGATCCCTTTACTAAAAAAACCAGTCGGACGGGAATCAATAAAATCTGTGAAGGCGATTTGGACTGCCCCATCAGAGTTAAATTTTTTCCCTTGCAAGAAGTTGTCCAAATTTCGAAAAAAATGGTAATCTGTTGGAGCAAGGTCCGGGGAGTACGGAGGATGTCTTAGACATTCCAATTGAAGCTCTTCTAATTTGGTAGCCGTCTGTTGTGCAGTGTGTGGTCTAGCGTTGTCGTGAAGTAGCAGTGGCGTGGAGCGATTGACCAGCCTAGGTTGTTTAGCCGCTAGCTTTTCCATCATGGTTTGCAATTGCTGACAATAGACATCAGCCGTAATAGTCTGGCCAGATTTGAGAAAACTGCAATGAACAATACCAGCACTAGTCCACCAAACGCTTACAAGTAACTTTTTTGGGGTAAATTTTCGCTTGGGGCAGGATTTGGCTGGCTGGCCAGGATCCAACCATTGCGCTGAGCGCTTTCGATTATCGTAAAGAATTCATTTTTCATCACAGGTAATGATTCGGTTTAAAATACCTTCATTATTGTGCCGGTTCAGTAATGTAACGCAGCAGTCGACGCGCGTTTGCCGGTTTGCTTCAGTCAATTCGTGAGGTACCCATCTTTTAAGCTTTTTAATCTTCCCAATTTGCTTCAATTGAATTAAAACAGTTTTATCACTAACACCGCAGCCTGCAGCTAACTCGGACGTGGTTTGCGATGGATCCGCTTCCACAATAGCCTTCAATACTTCATTATCAACTTGGGTCTCAGGCCGTCCACGGGGCTTGTTCTGCAGGTCGAAATTTCCAGAACGAAAACGTTGGAACCAAAAACGAACTGTGTTTTCTTTTGCAACATGACCGCCATACACATCATTCACCCTTCGAGACGTTTCCGCAGCACTAGTGCCACGGCGGAACTCGTTCTCGTAAATAATGCGATACTTTAAGTTTTCCATTTTGTAAAATGAGTGACGCAAACAGAAAAAAACAGAAGAAAAAAACAAATGAATGACGGTCATCGAAGCACAAATACATGAGCTGTACAAATTTGAATTTGGAATTCCTTACCAAAGAGGAGAACATCGTGATTAAAGTGGCCAGTACGAAAAACGCCAATTTCATATGTAAGGACCTAATATAATGCGTAATGAGAATAATGTCATAATCAATTGACGTTTTTATAATTTATTATAATTAAAAGCTATTAGACTACTACTGCCCGTGTGGCAATGCAATACTAGTGCCTCTAAAAAGAAACCTAAAGAAAATTCCCTCTAAATTATTTATTTTCTTGTTACAGCCGACAAAAAAGAAAAATGGAAAGGATATAATGGAAAAGTGCAAGCAAGTCACGCGTGCTTTTATGCCTAGCATTCACTGCAATCAAACATAAAGGGAAATATAAGAGAAAAGGAGAAAAATCAATGATATATGAAACCGTTTTATTAAGATATTTTTAATTTTTTCACATCTTACTATTATACTAAGGAATTTTAATGTGACAAATGCTTGGTGCTGTTTTATATGATAGAATCAGTATACAAAATAATAACAGATATATAATCAAAAGCATGTTAGTTTCATGATAAATTTGGAATAAAGCATTATTTTACTTGAATATATTTTAATCAGTCAACATGCCATGTAAAACTCAGTTACGTAATACACACATTTAACACGCAAGAGAATATCTCCTTGCTTGTCAAACTTAATTTATGCCACCACGATTTTGGCGCCAACTGCTAATCAAAGTCAAACTTAAAATAACTTTATTCATATAGGTAAACAAGTACGCTTATGAACGTCAGAAAAGAAGTTAAATTAATTCTAAATTTACATTCACTACCAGTTCGCAAGTCAAGGGCGTAGAGCGGGCAAGAAGAACTGGCAAGGAACTTTTCGTCACTCTTTTATATCGCTAAGTTTTGAGTCATAATGATAATACATAATGTCTATAAGGTGCCTATAAGAAGTGCTTTTTACGCAACTCCTAAGAGACTTCAATTGCCGTATAGTAAGCGCGCCTCTGCGATTTAAGAGAAAATGCTACTATAACCATAATTTAGCTAGTCGTTTTATAAGTTTTTTTTGTACTGACTGTGTGTTATAAAAGGCAATTATGAAACAAAATAAATTTATTAAAAAAATATACATTGTACTATGTTATATTCACTTGGATTCATAACCAACTGCAACTAAAAAGTTCATTTCTCGAGTAGCCGTTGGCCATGTAACAGTTATCTTTTGCAAATCTAGTTTGAAGTAGTTTTCTCTATATTTTAAAGCTTCCTTTACTATCAATCTATTGAAATTATGAACGTGAGGGTGATTTGTATATTCATCTATGGCCATCCACTTACAATCCTTGACCTCTCTTTGTGATAAAATAATTTTCTCTGAAACTGCTTTCATCATAAGAAGTATGTATATATCTGAGTTGCCATACATCATGTCATGTGTATGCCGGAATGTAATTATTGATTCAAAGTCACAATTGATACCAGTTTCTTCTCTGACTTCTCTGATCGCTGCATCTTTGATATCTTCTCCTGAAAATTACAAATACTAAATGTAAGTATTTATTGGTGTCTGTGATTGAAATGTTCATGTTTAATTCGTACACATAAAAATTTTGTAACATAAAATGAAGTAATTTAAAAAAATATATATTTCTAATGTCTTACCTCTCTCAACATATCCACCAGGTAATTTCCAATGTGGATAATTATAATGCTTTTCAGATACTGCTAATAACTGCTCTATATTATTTAAAACCAGTGCTCCAACACCAAGGTTTGTATGACATGGCGGTGGTAAATTAGGCTTAGAGTCAGTTGGAAGCCATTTATACATCATCACGAAGTCATCTCTAGCATGATGAAAATTAAAACCTTTCTAAGAATATCAAACTATAGAAGTATGTGGTAAAAATTCTAACATATTCAATAGGAAGCTTAAAAGAAATGTAACAGATACAACAGAGCCAGCTATGACAACTAAATTTCCTACTTGTGAATGGTAGCATCACTAAAACACATAAACACACTCTGAGACCCAAATATAACGTTTGGTGGCATATTTTTAGGTGTAGCACCAAGTTCTGACACTAACATACATAAATAAGTGGATATTTAATTATCTCATTTGTGATTTAACTTTATTGATTCATATTAATAAAAATTATCCTTACCTGTGCTAACATAGGAACAAAGTCAGAATGATTAATCCTAATTTTAAACCATATGCATCTTTTACCATTGTTTGACCATATTTTTAAAGACTCTGAAATTAATAATTACATAACATTTATTTTAATAACGATTAATGATTCACATTTGTTAGCCAACCTAATATCATACCTTGTAAGTTAAGGAGAAAGTCATTTTTATTGCTGATAATATCATTTGAATCAACCGTTAAGCCTTTATATCTATCGTCTATTGATTTGAATTCGCTAAATTTACCTGAAAAGAGTCTAAAAAAGGTAACAGGTAAGATTACTGTAACAAACAGAAACCCCAAGAAATATTAAAAAAAATTAAACAAACCTCGAACTATTTATACAAAGTCCAAAGGAAAACCTGGAAGATATTATGTTCTTAAAGCTTAGTAGGGACAACATTGTATCTAACTCATTGAAATTCTATTATCAGGCCATAAATTGAACAATATTTGCTTAAAATATACTCATTGCCCACCAATGACCAAAATACTTAATAAATAGTATATAAAATATAAATTATTATTAGACAGCTGACAGAGGTTCTCTGTAGTCTGTAAATTTGTGGAATGCACAGACATGCTTTGTTCTGTACAGTGTACACACAACACAACGGGGTCTAGCCAAGATGGCTTAACAGTAGTGTATGTAGAAAGTCGAAAACTAAATTTGTATGAAAATGACAGCTCGTGTCGACAGTCGGTAGCCTAGGCCCTAAAGGCGTGAGTCGAGATACAATAAGCGACGCCATGACAGTGCTACGAAAAGACACACATTAACGCTTACGCTATTCGGTAGCCAACGGCCAATTAATATTTCACTTTCAGCAGAGTAGAAAAAACGGCGTTTATCCTCCATGTTTTTGCGTGATCTCAAAAGCTGCTGTTTACTACAATTCGGTTACGCTTTTGAGTATCGCCATCTATAATTTTTAAATGTTAAAATATTTGGTATTATTATTGACTATTGAATTTGGATTTTTAACCTATTTAAGAAAACCCGAAAGGGCTTATTAAAATAATTAAAATCTAGTTTGTTTAGTCATTATTTAAATATAGTCAAAGTTTTAGATTTTGTTATTGTTGTTGTTAATTTGTTTACGTTTATCATGCATATACTGAGACTCTTGTCAGCTGCAAACAATGATGATATATCAACAAGACGTAGGGCTAGAGTTGAATTTAGACATCGCCAAGCAGTTAGTAGGATTAGAGAGGAGGATTTTAGGGCTGTCTGTACATTATGTAACTTGTAAGTTACTTGTTTGTTGTAAACTTTATATCATTTAATATTGCTTAAAATCACAAAGTAAAATTGTACATTTTATTTGTATATTTCAGGTGAGAAAGCAGTCACTAATGAGCATAATTAAAAGTTCTAAATATATTTTATTGTAATTATATTAGAAGCTAATGATATAATATTGATTTAAATTAATCAAATAAAGTAAATATAAAATCTAATGAACAATACTAGGTAATGGTAAGCAGATAGGTATGTTCTTTAATTATTTACTAAGTTAATATACTAGAGAAGTTATTATAATATTGTTAATGAATGAGAAGTTTGAATTCAAGTCCCTTGGGAATTACTGACATTGTTTGGTTATTAAAAACTTTAATTGACAATAAGCAGCAAAGTGACAAATTAAGTATATTTTTAAGTTTAGAATAAAGTAAAGATTTTTAATATTAAATTACCTATTGAACAAACCTAGAAGCGATCTTACAGTTTAGTTTGTCAGTTTTCTATTTGATCAAAGTACTAAGTAAAATATTTTCTTTTCAGAAAAAGAGAAGCTAATAAGACAACTAAGAGTATTAAAAGAAACCACAAATGGACAAGTTTTTTTAAAGTTATCTTTTAATTAATTTAAATGTTATATTATGTACCTGAAAATGAATTTGATAATGGCGAATGAAGCTTTTTATGAACAATGTAAAAAAAGGAGGAGTGGAGTATGAAATTATGGTTGGTTAAGTAACATTACCCCAAGAACAGGAAACAGTAACTGAAACTATTTTCTTCCACATTTAATCTTAATAAGTTCAGCAGTTTCAATGTTAATGAGATATTATTATAAACAAACTGCATTTGTAGATTTTTGGAAGAATTATATCTTTACAATAACTATTATTATTTACAATCGTTGTGTTAAGGAAACAATCACTATTTTTTTAATTGCCCAGGATGTATTCATAGTAACTGTAGGAATCATAGTAATTTTATGAAATCATCACATCTACACTACATCTACATTTATTAGTTAATTATCTACATATATAAATATGAATACATCTACATTAGGTAGTAATGCATTGAATTTGGTGCACCTGTGTGTGTTCAGTAGTAATGTCTGTATTGTTTAATAAGTTGTTACATATGCTTATTTTTCTATGTAGACTGCATTATGTTAAGGAAGATATTTGGTGCCTTATTTTAATAAAAAATAACCATAACTGATACATTTTTATTTTGCTACCTGTTTGTTTAATATTCCTAACTATTAGTAGGTACGGGTCATTCATATATGCTTTATCTGTATATTCTTGTAAAATAAACTAATATTGTTAACCACTTAAATGGCTTTTCCTACTAAAGAAGACAGGTAAATTACCAAAAATAAAACTGACAAATACATAACATACAATGTTTATTCATTTCTTACTTAAACAGATTTTGCATTTACATATTAACTAGTAGCAAATCTGATATAACCAAAAGCTAATTGACATAAATATTAACTTAAAATCGGCATCAAACTTAAATTTATATCTATTATATCTAAGATGTTGGAGCATCAATATGGAATCAAAGGTTGATTAAGGGTTATAATTTCATACCAGACTAAGTTTCTATTTTATAATTTTTATGAATCCCTCTTTTCATTTCATTGAGTACTTGCTGCTTTTCATTTCTCACTTTCTAAAAGTATAAATTTATTATAAACAATCAACGATTATGACTCAAACTTAAACTGAAATTGTTTGTTGGACATAAAGAGAGATAATTTCAACTAGTAGCAAATCACTAATAAAATCTACACTTATATATAAATCTGCTTTCAAATTGACATTAAAAATGTTCAAGCACAAACACCAAACCTAATTAAAGCTTAAATCAAACTCTAATTTCAGTGTTCACACTAGTCTACGTTTTTTTTCTATTGTTTTTTAATTCCTTGGACTTTATCAACTTCTAGTCAACCTTATTTTCACTCTTTATTTATCAATCCACAGTACTATTTCTATTGTTTCTTCTAAGCGGTAACAAAATATGTTGCTTCTTCATTTTGCAGATTAGTTGTGAGGTCAAATCCTAAAAATATCAAAGTATGAGTACTACTAATTATTATATATCTCGATATGCAATTTCAAAATATTGTATTTTTTGTAGCCTTAAATTTTTGAGAAAACATGAAACAAACCATAATTAATTTAAACATTCAATTAAAATTCATATATTCACTTTGCACCTTCCGTAAATTCCACTTAAATCGAAAATTGTTCCGACCTTGCTGACATTCTAATGTCCCTTTTGTAGCTTCCAATTGCAAATTTACAATAATATTGTAAAGTTTTAACTTTTATTTGTTTATAAAAGTGACATTAGGAATACATTTAATCCAGAGACAATATGACGGAATAAGGTGCTACGAACAGCAGCTCGCATCTACGCTGTCGACTTTGCGGTAATGTATCGACATGCCTCTTGGCTACGAACGAAGCGTTTTCGACAATACAATTACGCAAAAGCGGTAGTGTATGCAGAATACTTTTCGACACCAATATGGCTAGACCCAAATCTTTTTAAGTGACTTTGAACAGACATCATTGACATTTTATTGACAATTCTTTAAATTCCATTAAAAATTGTTCAATGATCTCACTGTATACTTGTATAGTAATATGTAATTATATATACTAGTAAATTGTAATAAATTAGCTCAAAAATATAACTATGTTAATATTTTAAAAAGTAAAACGACATACGTATATAGTGGGTATTGTCTAAATTTTTGAATATATTTTGACCTGTTATCATAATCAAATGGTGAAATAGCATTTACTTTACATATCATTGACTGGATAACTATTACATAACCCACGCAAAACCTACTTATCTATTTAAATATTTTTCCCAAGTAGATATATCTGTGTAATACGTTTATAAATTATAATTTTCTTCCCTGTGACCTGATTTTTTTTTAGAATGACTTTTAATGGAGTAATAGATAGGTACAATGGAGTTACAGTCACTTCAAAAGATGAACCCTGTGATAAGATTGATTTTAAAGGCAAACTTGTGAGTAAGTGAAAGATAGAGCTTATCAATAAATTAATAACAGTCCTTGTTTCTTCTTATACATTTATATGATTATTATTTTAAGGTTCCTTAACAAAATGGGCAGAAGAAAATAAAAGGTGTATCTGGTTTAGAGTTAATATTACAGATGCAGAGTGGGTTCCTATTCTAGCAAATGTAAGTAACAGTTCCAAAGGATCACAAATAAATATCTTAATTTAAGACTTATATATGTAAAGAAAGCAAAACACACAACAATTTCAAATTTAAGCAACAATAACTGCACCTATATTCATTTTGTTGCAGCATGTTATTTAGCCTTCTATGATAAATCAATATTTTATAAATAAAATCTGTTCCTTAGTAATCTAAGGACAGTTCAACCCAACTCTAGCTTTATAGTATTATATAAAGTTTAATTGTCAATCAATCTTATTAGTCCATTCTATTAAAAAAAATCAATTGTTTTTACTATATTTCATTTAAACAATTACAGGAGGGTTTCAACTTTCATCATGCTAGAATTGACTTTGTTATGATGTTCAAATGGCTCCCACAAGATAGACCAGCAAATTTACCTCCTACATGTCATACAAACTTGGGAGTGGGTGGTCTAGTGGTAAATAACAAAAATGAAATACTGGTTGTAATGGAGAAACATTTTGAACATCCACATTGGAAATTACCTGGGGGATATGTGGAGAGAGGTATAAGATGGCTTTTTATGCAACCATAAAACCAGGGAATTTCTAGAAATATCATAATCTAATGTTATTTTTTGTAGGTGAAGACATAAAAGATGCTGCAATAAGAGAAGTAAAGGAGGAAACTGATGTTGATACCATTTTTGAATCTATGGTCACCTTAAGACACACACATAATGCTATGTTTGGGAATTCTGACATTTATGTTATCATTTTGTTAAAAGCTACCTCAGATATAATCACTAAATCAGAATTAGAAATCAAAGCTTGTAAGTGGATGAATGTTGATGAGTTTTTAAACCATCCTGATGTAATTGATTTTAACAAATTTATTGTGAGACAAGCATTAGATTTAAAGACAAGAAAGATTAAATTTGAACTTCTTAAGAGAACATTGAAACTGAAAACATTTGTGAGAGACATTACATGCCTTACAATTGAAGATGTTTAACATACAGATATTTTGAATCACAAGTCATGGTTGGTGGGACACCTAACATTTCAACATAACTATTGTTTTATGGTTGGTATTTAAATTATTAAATACATTAAGGTACACAGACTGTTTTATTAGCAGTTTCCTTTCCTGAAAATATATTTTGGCAGCTGTATAAGTAACTTTATGTGAGTTAAGTAAAAATGGTTAATGAGCTCAAAAACTAATTAAATGGTTCTTTATTTGTAAGATGTTAGGTACAGGAAATTATTTCAATAACGTCAGATGTAGTTCGTTGCTTTTGTATGCTTTCCAACAAGTTTCAATTATTTACACAAAAACAGACTATCAAAAAACAAAGTTTAATCTAAGTCAGGGACTTGGGTTTTCTTTGCCAAAATGCTGCCATCTTCATCAGAACTGTCAATATCCCCAAGCATTGACTTTATAATTCCACCTAACATTGAATTAGGGTTCCTACGGTTCCCTGGGGCAGAAATTCCAAACCAGACACGGGCAATTGTGTCCAAGTACCCAAAGTAGCGAGGGTCACGCTTTAGAAATTTTTCATAGCTTTTACGTAGCATTAAAAATTTCATAGCATTTTTTCTGAAATGAAAAATACAATTTTAAATTGTTTTGACTTTCATTTTACTTTAATATTTTAAAAAACTATAAAATATGTAAGAAAAATGTAACTTACTGATCAATAACTTTAAGAAGCAAGTATAAAAAATTTAGTAATGGATATTGAAATGGTGGAACTCTCTCATTTAAATTTGGATGAGACCTTGTATATTCCTTGAAAGCCTCATGAGCCATTTCCTTATTCTTCAAACAAAGAATTTGTAGCACTGCCTGAGCTATAAACATAGCAATTTCGGACTTATATCCTTTAGTTGTATGTAATTCTATCAATTTGGTAGCAAAAGCAACACCATCATTTGAATGTAAAAAATGCCTATAAGCATATGTTAACTTGTTTTCTTGCCAGTACACTTCTGCAATACTCTGAAAATTTCTTTATAACGTGATTTAGGAAAACATTGATGTGTCATACATTAAAAAAGGATGGAGGATGAGAATGTATAAAAAAGATAAATTGATGGTGCATATAGTTTATGGGCTTGGACTGTATTGTATTACATTCACCTTCTCATGAATTTGAGTATATTATAGATATACCAGGATAATATTAATATGTGTAATCATGTAAACAATATCACATTTAAAACTAAATGTATACCTTATGGAGCAAAGGATGGCCTCTCTTAGTTTTATCCATTGACCACTTTACTGCATTAATCAAAAAGGTTTCCCTCTCCACAACATTCGGTTTCATCTTTGCAAAGAGTTGAGCAATTTTTTCAATCCATTCTTCACATGGGTTTATGTGCGATTTTGTGAGTACATCTAGAAGAAGTATCGCCAAATCTGTACCACTACCTTGTTGATCACATTCTAATAATATGTTTGCACCACTGTGTAACAATTGTAGCAAATCACCATACTTCTTTTGATTTAAGTATCTACAAATTAAGAACAGCAGTTTAGTAAATAAATTCCATCATTAACAAATCGATTTATTTTAATACTTAAGTTAACTGTACCTAAAATAAAGAGTTCTATACATTTGATGTGCTTCATAGTATTGACCCGCATTTACGGATGCTTCAAGTTTTTCCAAGACTCTACCGACACCTCTTTCTCCGCGGGCCATTGTTTATCTATTCTCGAAAACAGGAACTAAAGTCGCCATCTTGAAGACGTCATTCTGTATGTCATTGCAAAGCAGAGCGTAACCCCGTGTGTTTTTTGCTTAGTTTGTGATAAAAAAAATGACGAAAGCATTATGGAGTGACGCGAGAAACATGATTTTAAAAGTGTTGGCCTTTATGAAGGAAGAGAAACGTCTCCAAACCCCAATAATACCGTTTGAAAAATTATATGAACGAATAACTGCTGCCACAGTTAAGTGCTGCCAGATTTTGTAACTTAAATTTCCCCATACCCAATGATTTATATTGTATAGTAAGCTTTATTTTACAGGTGTTGGTGAGCGCTTCGTGCGTAAATTAGTTAATAAAAGTAGACAACGGTTGTATGACCTTTACGCTGAAAAGTCATACAATCATAATGAAGAATTTATTCTTTATGTTCGAAATTATTCGAAATTATTTAAGAAAGTTTGTTACGCGGCCAAGTCCTTAAATATCAAAAACAAGATTAAAAATAGTACCAATAAAACTAAAATGACTTTGAAGATAATTGATAGTGAAACTGGAAGAGTCAGGGATCGCAATCAAGACATCGAATTATGCGTCGATAACACTATAATCAAATCTAACGAAGAGATAGCGATTGTTTTTGATAAGTACTTTTCTGACATTCCAATTTCGACTACTTAGGGTGAGATCTATAGTGCGCACTTAGACTTTGCTCTGACTTAACTATCGAGCTAAGACACAGTCGGTATTTATAGAGCAAACTGCGAATCTCTCCCTAGTGTTGACTGTTGGCTTAGCTTAATCTCAAGTCCACGAAATCGACGACTTACCAAAAACTTTGACTATAAGCCTAACAAAAATAATGGCCCAAAATTTGCTTTACCATCATATCTTTTACTGGACTTTTTATTTTTGTCGGTTTTTAATGAACGGTGTTGCCATTTTGTATCGGAGTTCCATAGACTTTGGGAAAAATAGAATTTGAATTCAAAGAAATTATAAATGATCTTGATAAATACCTATGAAATGCATGAAATAAAATAATTACACATTATTATGGTATTTATTGTTGTTTATTTATATTATTTATGTAATTGTTCAAACCCCATTTTTGAGAAATCTTAAAAATAACTGGTGTGATTTTGTATGTCACCTGGCAGCCCTGGCATATTATAGTGACAACGATCCGGCTAATAAATAAATTAAAAAAAAAAAAAAAATAGTGACAACGAAATTCAAACCATAACCTAACCGATGTCTCTCGCTTCACATCTGTTATTTTCGTTTCCCTGAATCTTCTACCATTTATTACCTGACTACCCTAAAAAATTTGAGATAGGAGTGGAACATATGAAATTAAAAAATCTGTTAGAAATAGAATTTCTTCAACAAAAATATAAATTAGTATTAGAAATATGTATTACACTTAAAAAAAGAATCAGAAAATAAATGATTAAAATGAAACAAGTTTTGTTTTGATATTCTTTATTACCAAACAAATTACCTAGTTAAATTGTGCAATCACAGATTGCCGGAATGCTAGACCTGTAGGAGATCTTTCATTGTTTCTGTGTTACTCAACTTCTGCTGTCAGCAAGATCACCATCATCATAAGCATCGCCTCTCTGTATACCTATATTATGCAATACAGCACAAGCTATAATTATATATAACTAGTATTTGTCAATTTAGACTGTAGTCCTAGCTGTAAACATGGAAATTTCCTTTTTCACACTCCGAAAAACCTTTAAAAAATATGCCTAGTTCTTATTTGAGAATAATTATAAATATTGTCAGCTCTTGTCATTGGATTTAAAAGTGTTGTTAACATGAAGTTAAGTGCTGGATAACCGCTGTCACCTACTAAAACAGACATTTTCTAAATATCCTGCTGTCGTGTGAACTGCCAGGCCACCTAGTCACTATAGCAAATATTTCCATATCAGGCCCTATTATTGCTTGCACATTTACAGAAAAATACCCTTTTTATTTCTGTATGATTCAGAGTGAGCGATACCTTTGGGTCTATTAATTTTTATATGGGTGCAGTCAATAGCTCCGATTATACTGTTTAGGCCATGGGGAGTATTAGATCTTCCTAATTCTTCAAACTTCGTTTTGGCTGTGTTCATATTTCTTGGAAAATTTACAAATCTAGGAAGTAATTTACTCAACTCTGCAGAGACTTTATTTATAATTAAACAGACTGTAGATTGGCTTATGCTGTTCAGATCACCACACACCATCTGTAATGTCAATAAAGTATTATTAGTCACATATATGTTATGTTTGAAAGTCAGAAGACAAAAGTCTTCAACATATGTACTATTTAAAATCATTTGAGAAGAGGTATAATATATCAAATTGAAAAACCATACATATTTATGAACACAATATTACCTGAAAACATCCAGTTGCATTTTTATGCCTTAATGCAATAAGTATTTGCAATTGCGGTAGGTTTGGCGATCCTCTGTTGTTATAAGGTTGCAAGTTTGTAATGATCAGCGTCAGGATCACATTTAATACCGTGTGTTTCAAAATACGGTTCCTTCTTTTGAATTCATTCTCACCGTACAGGATGGAAGGATTTTGGTTTTATTAGTTCCGAACATATACAACACTTTAGGCATTCGTGGATTCATATCGGCTGCAGTTCCTACCCTTTCAATGTTTTCTATTGAAGATAGAACTCTCTCTCTCCATCATGTCACTTTCGATATTGATATTTCCAAGCGGTCCATGTAACAAAGCCAAATCACAAAACGTCACAGTGATTCGGGAATGCGTAGGTCTTAAGTAGGTATACGATCCAGATTGGTCCAGGTCCAAGTCACAAAGCCAGTCGTTGTTTTGAAGAAAGATCAATTTAATAAATTGTCTTGTAAGTGGTTTAAAATTTTCAATTGTTGATAGTTGATACAAGTGCTCTGTTGCTGTTGTCAAAACATTGCGATCCGTTCTACGTAATAAAATTATTGTCATCTTTAAATAATTAATACATTTTCTAAAGGTTACTCGTGAATTTCTAGTTATTGCAATAATAAAATAAATGAATACATAAATAACAATAAATTGAAGATATATGTGTACCGTTTTAGATTTTTAAATATTTGTTATCGTTAACTTTTTTAAAGGATAATAAACAAAGTATTGCATGAAATGAAACATCAATTTGTATTTTGACATTTTCTGTCTTAGCTTGGGCTTAGCTTAATCTCACCGTTAAAATGTCTATAAATACGAAATCATAGTTTAACCTTAGTGTACACTAAGCAAAGTTTTTCGTAAGGTAAGTCTGAGCAAAGTCCAAGTGCGCACTATAGATCTCACCCTTAGAACACTACCGATCTTTGGGGTATTTCTGTAAAAATAATTAGTAGCATAATTGATGTAATTGCTCCCCATCTAGCTATAATTTTCAACAATTGTATTAGAAGTGGCGAGTTTCCCGATCTAATGAAACATAGTAAAGTTATTCCATTATTTAAAGCAGGTAGTATGTCCGAACCTAGTAACTTTAGACCAATTTCCGTACTACCTACTTGTAGTAAAATATTTGAAAAAATTATATTAAATTAACTGGTAAGTCATTTTAACGTAAACAAATTATTACTTAATAATCAGTTCGGTTTTACCAAGGGTCGCTCGACTGCTGATGCCGGTGTTGAGTTATATAGATATATAGTTAAGGCTTGGGAGCATGACGCTTTAGGTGTTTTCTGCGACTTATCCAAAGCATTTGATTGTGTCCAACACGAGACCTTAATCGGGAAACTCCGCCACTATGGCATCAAGAATACCGCACTGAATCTTCTGACTTCCTATTTACACGGAAGAACTCAGAAGGTTGAAGTGAATGGTAAGAGGTCCTCTGGGTCGGCAGTAGATATGGGGGTACCACAGGGCTCAATTCTTGGCCCTTTTCTCTTTCTTGTTTATATAAATGATCTACCTTTCATGGTAAACAGAAAACATCAGATAGTTTTGTTTGCTGATGACACGTCCTTGATTTTTAAAATCAAACGACAAATAACAAATTTTGACGATGTGAACAATGCTCTATCTTCGATTGTCCATTGGTTTAGTATAAATAACCTTCTACTTAATGCAAAAAAGACAAAATGCATTAAATTATGTGCAAACAATGCAAGGGTTATGGATACTAGACCAATTATAAACGGTGAGGAATTGAATCTGGACGATACAACTGTATTTCTCGGAATCACCATGGATTTAAAACTTCAGTGGTTCCCTCATGTTAACGGATTGGCGAAGAGACTTAGTTCTGCAGCCTACGCGGTTAAAAAAATTCGCTCACTAACTGACGTCAATACAGCTAGACTTGTTTATTTTAGTTACTTTCATAGCTTAATGACTTATGGCTTATTATTATGGGGTCATGTTGCTGATGTCGAAACTATTTTCACCCTGCAGCAGAGGGCTATCCGTGCAATCTATAATTTAAAATGTAGGGAATCTCTTAGAGATAAATTCAAGGAAATTAATATACTTACCTTTCCCTCCCATTATATTTATGAAAATATTATGTATGTATACAAAAATCGTGATAGGTTTACTAGAATAGAACATACGCACAACGTTAATACACGGAACAAACGCAGGCTGCAATTTCCCCGTACTAGACTATCTAAAGTTAGTAATTCTTTTTTGGGAAAAGGGATAATCTTCTTTAATAAAATCCCAGAGGCTCTTTTATCTCTGCCTTTCAATAAATTTAAGAAATGTATTAAAGAAAAGCTGTGTAAAAAGGCTTACTATAAAGTCAACGATTATCTAGTTGATAAAAGGGCCTGGGACTAGTGCTAGACAGGCTACTTCTAATTAATTTGCGTTATTTGTTTTAAAATAAGTGTTGTTTGATGATTTGCTATTTTAAAAGAGTACCGAGAGTTTTTTACGCCGGCTTTTTCTCTCGGCCTACACCCTCTGTTTTATTTGCCGATGAGTAGATGCCTACAAATTCAAATTT